ATTCGGGACTTAAATACGGATTTGATGCAAGAGAAAAAAGGGCTTTTTGGACGCGTAGATGGGAGCACGTTGCACGTGGGGAAAAAAACGCGCCTGATTTAAATGTCACACCTGAATGCTCACATCCTTTTAATTATGTTTGAAATTATGAACATTGCTCAACATCATGAAAATTAAACCTTATTTTCAATAAGCAATCCTGAAAAATATTTGGGGGTGCTTAACTTTTTTCCAGGTGTATATTACTCCTTAGCTAATACTAACTCAGTTGAAATCTCACTATTTGAAATAAATTTTGCCATTCTGTTAACCCTTTCAGTGCTGAATAAATGTTTAGTACTTATGTCACAGTGCTGAATATATTTTCCAAGAAGACAAAAGAACGCTACCTTACATGTTTGAAAATCAATTATAGAAATACTACATAAGATATTATCACAAATTTTTCACATAATCAAGCCAAACAGACAAGAATTTGTTAATTCAAAAAAAAAATGTTGCCATCCATGCTCTGTTTACATGTTGACTATTCACCATCAGCACTGAAAGGGTTAGATTATTGCTGCATTGTTCATTTTACATTGTTGTTATAATCTTGTTGAACTTTTACATTAAACCTTTGTTTTGTGTATTTTATTAATATCATTCTTGTGTACTCTGTCAGGTTTGTATAGCTGAAAGTCAGTGGCTTAAGAAGGTGACCAGACTAATCAAACAGAAAAAGGAACCAAAGAATAGATATCGATTAGTGGAGAAGGAACTGGAGAGCTTACCTGATTGGCCAGTAATAAATGAAAAACTATATGCTTCAGATTATTCTGTGGTTTTTCATTGATTATTGAAATTCTTAGAGCAGACTTATTATTAGATAACATTTAACAATTAAATAAAAATCGTGTGTTTTGTTTGATTTTGAAAATATGGCACTTATTTTACACAGATTTTATTTTACATTTTTAGTCAAAAATACTTCAATTTGTATATTGCAACAAGGGTTCTTTGTATCCTGTTTTTTGAATTAGCATTTTATTTTGTTGCAGTATCTCATAAAACCACTAGTATCATGATGAAGGCTTGTTTGTATTTTTAAAAAAAGCATATCTGTTTTTTTGCTTGTTAAAACTTGAGACTTGTACAAGGGGCAAAATTTTAGTTTGATTAATGTAACTGAAACTTCATTATATTTCAAGTTAGAAAGTACTTTTGTAAATGAACATTAATGCAAGATGACAAACATTAGTACAGTTTTCGTGTGTTTGTGTGGTGTGTGTGGCCATCAATTTTCAATCTTAAATTTAATGATTCAAAATCACTGGAAAATTCTGAAACCACAGCAGCAAATTATGAATAGAATTACTTTGACATTATTATACACAAGTTTAATCACAAAAAAATTTATTTGATTATTATAATGTATTTTTTATACATCAGGTAATATTGAGATTTTGTTGTTATTGCTCAGTTCTGTAAAGGCCACGGTATTGTTTAATATTTATTCTAAAGCTATATTTAATTGGCTCAGTAATGTATTTCAGTTTTATATATATAATTTTAAGACTGGTGTATCTGTATAGAACTAGACCTCAACCTTGTTTTAGAGTTTATATTATATTTAAACCACATACACACAAATGTAGAAACTGAATTTGCTCTCACAACTAAGAAATGGGTTCAAGTTATTGTTTTATTTTTGTTGCAATTGAGTCATATATATCTGTTTATATATTTAAGTTTCTCCTAGTTAAAAGTTCATTATGACTTTATACAGTTTGGTGATTGATAATATTCCTCTGTATACTTAAAATTGATTAAACCTGCTGTAAGTACTACATCTATTTAACATTCCTGTGATTTTGTCCACTGGATACGACTTATTTTTCATAGATATAGTATGTATTTAATACAGCTTATTTAGCATTATTGAATTATTGGATTTACCAAACATACAAGATTGAGGAAATATGAAAAATGCCAGTTATAATTTTATAACTGTAGATTTCTGTTATTCTATTTAGAATCAATCGTACTAGCACTACAGCTGATCTCTTTTGAAGGATTGTAACAGTCTAAAATGAACATGCCACTACAATCAGGGTTCAACAATAACAACACTTAGAAACAAGTTTAACACTTACTAAAATGCAGTTAATAAACACGTGCCTGGCTAAGACTTGACACTAATATTAATAAACAGTTTATCATAAATGTCAATATTATTTCAAATAATGGAATCAAGAAAAAGAACCAGGAAGAAAAACCTAATTCCAAATTACCTTCCAATATTAATAACAATATTGAGTGATAGACAGCGATAATTCACTAATTATCTCGTTACTCTCTCTCCAAGCGAAGCTTCTGGCAGGGTATTTATTCAATGAGTAGGTCAGGAGAGTACACCTCATATGATCATATATTTACATAATCATCTGCTACATTAATAGTATCTGTACGTCATCGCTATGGAAGCTGGTGTCACTTTCATCATACATACATATTTACTCAAAATACAAATGGTTAGCTAGAAGGTGAGTTAGCGATTTATTGCAACTATAAATTCATAGATAAACTAAACGATAGATGGAAATAATAAATAAACGATACACATTCAAAATCATTTTTAAAAATTAGAATTTTTTATCTCGCAAGATAACCTACTGTTATTATTTTATTCTTCAGTTTCTGTTTTTTTCATAATGGATATTGAAAATAAAGGATTCTTTGATATATTGTTTGTTTTTTCAAGTGCTACCTTTATGTAATGAACTGTGAATTTTAAACATAATCTGAAAGAGGACTTTGGTTTTATATATATATATATATATATATATATATATACTAGT